GTGTAAATCCGTTGGATCTCAGCTTGCTGTACCTCAAACTCACCTCTACCTCGAGAGAAATGAAGCAGTCTACACCGTCACCTGAATTCCAACTTCACTATGACCAGCTAATGCTGCCTTCGTGCTTCCCACAACCTCTCACCGGAGGTTGTAGAGTTGCCGCCCTGCGCTTTTCGCGTTCACTTGCGCATGCATGGAGGACGAATAAGCTTTACAATCGTCAACGGCGGTGATGGCTGATTTCAACACTAGTGCAGCAATTGTGAAGTGACGATAACCAAAGGCACAACTGAGACGCGGTTTCATTTCTGCTTCAGATGCTTTATTTCACTGCAAGAAGAGGCTAGCAGGGAGGTTCACCTCTCCATGCCTTGCTGCATTCTTTACCTTATATCGGTTCAAAGGTTGGACAGGCATGGACATCCCCATGCTTATCGAGGTGACCCACAGTGGACACTTTAAAGTCCGACACCTCTTCGATTTCATGCCATTTACCAATGAATGTCTTTCCCTCTCTCGCTTACTGGGAACGCACAGCACCTCGGAGTGACGAGGACTTAATGAATTAGGGGGTCAAAGTGGTTCATTGCATTTGTTTCGACAGTCAAAGCAGCAATTATGGGATGGGAATTAGGAGGGCAGTGACGAGGACAGACAGTGCAGACATCCGAAAAGCACGTAGAAGGCCTCTTTGAAGAAGCAGAAGGAAGTTCACCAGCACAAATGGGGAAGCGGAGGCTGTCCCATTGATAAGACGTGCCTGTGGTTGCCCACCTCTCAGCTGGCTTGGGCGATGCGACACCACTGTTGCGAGGGCGTTGAATCCACCCGCAAATGCTGTCAAATGATTGCATTCGCATACCACGACTGAGGCGGTTGTTTCACGCATTACCTACAGTTGAATGCACAAACCGTTGTGTCACCTTTGACCAAGCACTGCTTCTGCACCAACCCCTCGTAGTACGCGAAATCGTGGGATAACGATGGCGACAAGGCTGACGTGTGACATCGCAGACATTGGTGGCAACATGCTCACATCAATGCGGGCAACTAATTGGGAGAGATCAACTAAACTGATGCCACCGAATAGCAGTTTCTGACTTCCCTACCCTAGCTAAGAGGCTTGTCGCTTTGTCATACGACTGCCGAATTGCCTTCTTCCCAAAGCATTTATGCTTTGGCTCACTGAGTGGCTCCGTTCATCCGCAAATACGATTGAGACTCCAAGGAATGGTCGAAACGCTTTTCATCGTTGCTCATCGCTACTTCAAAATAATTGCAAACCCAAGTTGGCAAAGCAAATCCACATGTCCTCACCTTGCATCCAGACGTGGACCAGACTTTGCTGTTCGCCTCCAGGTGGTTGCACGACGACACAAATGCCCGCACACGTGCAGTGACGTTGATCTGACTTTCGTGAGGATACGGACGAGGCGGTGGATTCTCTGTCGAGTACCTGTCCACCTCCTCCTCGTTCAGCTGACGGTAGCCCACGAAGAAAGTGTTTGCGTCCTTCTTTGTCATCTTCACACCTCTGGCCAACTCAAGCGCCGACACCTTGGCTCTGTGGAAGTCCACATTGCTCACAAAGAATGTGTGATTCCGCTCCACCTCCTCGAGTGACGTCCCTTTTGCTTTGAAGAGATGAGTTAAGCATAGACCCAACAAGCAATCTTTCATGCGCCTCTACCGCATAAGTAAAATAGGAATAAACATCCATAGAGAATTCGGTGTTAACGTCGGAAGCCTCATGTCCTCTTTATAGCATCAAAGTTCAGAGCGTATCCACAACGAAAAGGGGCATTTCAACTTGCGGTATAACATGGACAAGCGGCAAAGGTGTAGGACATGCGAGTTCCAGCATGTCGACACAATCCATCCAAGTCCAATCCATTGTTCTCAGTCAAGACAGTGGCAGACGACGGTGGTGAGTGATTTCATGGAGCAGGGTGTGGTGTAGTGACAGGTAGGCGTTGGCGAAGGTGAAGGTGTCACGGACGCGAAAGACCCAAGACTAAGGGCACGACATGACCGTGACACAATGCCTCGCACTGAACTCACAAACCCTGTTTGGTCTCAATCCACACCCTCCACTGGTCGTTTGTATGATATCTTGACCCAATCGTGAAAGACCTCATCGTGAACACCGAGTCAGCGTGTTAGCACAACAACAATTGCTCACAGCCAAGAGCTGCCACCACTCAAATTCCGTCATGCTTAACCAAATGGATGCAAGCACTTCCTCACCCCCATAGACCTTCAACATTCAGGGAAGTAGCGAACAACAACCTAAGTTGGATGCTAAGGCAGACCTCGAGATCACACCAATGCAACACGCATTTCTGGGACGAACTCCACAAGGACGAAAGGTGGCGCCTCGGGTGTCA